ATAATTAGGTATATAGCTATATGGTGCATCGTTTGCTGTATAGAAACAACATTTGACCTATAATAGAAGTATAGTAAATTAAGGATTAAATCAATATTTTTATGAAAATGTATATTTTTAGTTTTATATATACATAAAAGAAGTTGAATACAAAAAAATTACACATACTCAGCAGTAAAATTCATTGTTCATTTTATTATTAATATAAAAATATAATACAATACACTGTAACATAATTAAATATAATAATACAATACAAATTAAAATGCAATATCCATAAGTATTTAAAAATGACAATATACATAACTTACTTAGGCAGATGTTTAATTTACCATGATAATAATATTGATAAAATAAAAATATTGTTTCGTGATACAACTGTCAATTTGTCTGACATTGACAGATAGAAAATTTAATTGTTGTTTGTAGTGTATATAAGTACACATTTGAACTTTTTTGAGTTTTGAAGTTTTAATTTATAATTTAACATACCTAACGAGGCTCAAGACAAATCTGAACAGAATGGAAAAATAATAATAATATTAAATATATTTACAAAAGGAACATATTTATTCTCGAGAGAGAAAGAGAGAAAATATATCTTCTGTGTCTCTCTTACCTATATCTTACATATGTAATGATTTTGCCGATTCACTCCCGTACAAATTTTCAACGTCGAACGCGCATATAGAAGTATAACTTCAAAAAAACGATATACTTATACTGAAAAAAATTGTTTGTGCTTTTGTTTTCAGTAAAGAAAAGGTATCATTGACTTTGATTTCGCAGCTTGCAATAAAGTCTATGAAGATTTCTTCTTCTGCACTTGAGAGAGCTTCAGAATGGATTCCTAATCAACTTGTAATCTGCTACCAATTTATTTTCAGTACCGGCAGGTCACGTGGCTCGAATGACAGATAACAGAAGAACAAAGCGGATACTGGAATGGATACCAAAAGATAATGCCTACCGAACCAGTGGTCGTCCACCAATACGTTGGGCTTACGATCTAAAACTTTGCCATAAAAATTGGGTACAAGAGGCACAAGATCGAAACAGATGGAAAATTATGAGGGCAATCTATGTCCAGCAGTGGACAAGCGAATATTGAATGATGATCTCTGGATCAGAACTTGGATACTGAATAAGGCTTCTCTCGTACCCAAGCCACTCCTAAATCCGAAGTGAGTATTGCTACTTCTCTCCTCTAATATCGTATATATTCTGCTATGTATTACTCGCAGAAAGATCTTCAAAACGTGACTTATCAGACCACTGCATGTCTTTGTACGATGTTTTTTTAGTAATGTGACAAATGTCGAATTCAGCCAATCAGTTGGTAATATCCTAGTGTCATAAATTCTGTTAAACAGAGCACATAGTGCTTTAATTCCATTTTCTCCCAAAAACTTAAGTATTTGAGCACTTACTTCATCGGGGCCACGTGCTTTTACATTTTTTGCCGTTTGTGTTGCTCATGTAACCTGACTTTCTGTTTATAGTGTTCTACTCTTTTATCTTCATATAATTCGGAAATGTAGTTTTTCCATTCTTTTAACTGTTTATTGATACCTAATATTCTGTGTCCGTTTTTGTCCTCCAAACTTTGGGTTAGTTGTTTCCGTTTGATTTCGATGATCTCTTTTAATTTCGTTTGTAGATAAAATATGTAATGTTTCTTTTCATAGTGTTCAATTTCATTACATTCTTTACTATGAAATTGTGTTTTCGCAAGTCTTATCGTCTGCCTGATTGTTTCGTGAATCCTCTGTATTCGTTTTATCTTTATTTCTGATTTCTTTTCTTTGATTCATTAGTCTCAGTATTTCTTCTGTGATTCACCCTTGTTTTCTTCTTGTTTTTACTGCAATTGATTTTGTTTCTTGAACTGTCTTTAATGTATCTTTAATTCTCGTCCAGTTATTCTCAGTACTTTCATCTTTGCTGGATGACAACTTTATTTTTTTTTTCGAATATACTGATTATTTCTTGTTTTACGGTATCCTACGACATCTTTTCTCTATCAATAGTAACTGCTTGCTTATTAGTCCTTGTAAATCATTTCAATTTCAGTCTTATTTTTCCTACCAGAATATTGTGATCTGTTGGCACATCTGCACTGCATATGTTCTATTTGCTAATACTGATTTCTGTACCTTTTATTTGTTCATATAAAGTCTATTTGGCACGACCCACACGTTCAGGTGTATCTGCTGGTAATCTCCAGGTGTAAAGACGACGTTTTGGAAGTTTGGACATTGTGTTTGTTATTACTAGTTACTTTTCTACACAAAAATATGCCAAAATATATCCTCTTTTATTTCGTATTCCCAGATCATATTTTTCTATGATATCTTTCTGTTCTCCTTCGCCAATGTTCGCATTAAAATCTCCCATGACAATATGAGCGTGTGTTTCTTTGTAGATGCTAATACTATTTATAGACTCCAAGGCAGCCTACGACTCTGTAAATAAAAAAGAAATCTTCTGAGCGATAAAAGAGCTAAGATTACCAAATCAGTTGGTAAATTTAACAAAACTTAATTATTGAAAAAGTTTAATGTAAGCTGTGAATCCAGGGGAAATTGTCTGAAATTTGTAACGTATTACACCAGGGAGACATTTTCTACTATATACTGCTCAATCTGGCTTTGAAAATACTTGCCTATATAATGACATCAATATTGTTTGGAGAACGGGAAAAGCGGTACGAGAGGAGTAGGTAACACTAAAAGAATCGGCTACAAAAATAAGTTTAATAATAAACATCCACAAAATGAAATAGATCACCATAAATAAGCACGTAACTACAAATCCTACAACCACACGTCATACAAAACGGCGTCATCAAGCAGTGAACGAATTTGTATACCTAGAAACACTCTTTAACCGTGCTAATATTACTACCGCAACATATGTTGCTTTGGGCTTAATCTCCTTCTTAAATCCTCAATTATATCAAGAAATACAAAGTTAAAACTCAAAAAAAAAAAACAATAATACACCCAATCCTACCATATATTTCCGAGACCTGCACTCTACCAAAAAGTAATGAAAACATATTAGGATGTTTCGAAATAAAAGTACTAAGGCGAATCTCTCCAGCGAGGAATGACAAAGGAGTGTGGAGAAGACTCTCCACACTCTGTCTAACGATACCGTAAAATATATTAAGATAGGACGTTCAAGGTGGATAGGGCATATAATGCCGATGATATAATGCCTTTGACAACATCGACAACTGCGAAATGGACACAAGCATACATCACATCCATACATAAGAAAGGAAACAGAAAGAAATGTGAAAACTACAGAGGAATTAGTATAATATCGTCGGTAGGTAGACTTTACGGGAAAATTATTAAGGAAAAACTAGAAACTGAAATAATAGGAAAAATTGGAGAAGACCAAGCAGGGTTCACAGTAGGAAAATCATGTCTAGATCATACGTACACATTAGAACAACTGATAGAGAAGAAAATGGCAAAAGGTAGACCGGTCCATCTGGCGTTTGTTGATCTAAAGAAAGCATAGGACTCAATACCTAGAGTCAAATTATGGGAAGAAATGAATAATCTCGGAATCTGACAAACACTAATAAAAGCAGTTAAAGAAGCACTGTACAAAGAAAACAAAGTAGCTATTAAATGTGGAAATGAAGCCTACAATCCATTTAAGACGACAAAAGGACTTCTACAAGGCTGTGCTACGTCCCCTACTCTGTTTAAAATATTCTTGAAAAAGACACTCAAACCATGGAGGAGAAAGTTCGAAGGAATGGGCATACCAGTAAGAGACGAATACCTATACACCTTAAGTTTTGCCGACGATCAAGTAGTCATCGCACAAGATGAAGAAGATCTCAGCTTTATGCTCAGAAAACTGGAAGAAGAATATAAAAACAACGGAATGGAAATAAACTTAGAAAAAACCGACTACCTAACAACAGGAAACAAGGATATGAGAAACCTAGAGATAGACGAGGTAAGACAAGTAAATGGAACAGATAAATTTAAGTATTTAGAAACCATAATATCGAACCAGGGAACAACAGAAGAAGATATAAACAACAGACTAAGACAAACAAGAAACTGTATAAGACAACTAAATTCAGTGCTGTGGGATAAGAACATTACGATAAAGACAAAAAATAGAATATATAATACCCTGCCAAGAAGTATCCTGACATATGGGTCCGAAAACTGGACAATAAACAAGAGAAATAGAGGTAGAATAAGAGCAGTAGAAATGGAGTTCCTGAGGAGAAACTGTAGACTTACAAAAAGAGACAGAATTGAAAACGCAGAGATTAAGCGGAGAATGGGAGTGCAATCAGACATAATCGACTATATAGAGGAGAAGAGACTATCCTGGTACGGCCGCGTCAGAAGAGCGGACAGAGGCCGCTGGATAAACAAAATCACAGAATGGAGCCCGATCGGAAGAAGAAAGAGAGGAAGACCCCGAAGGTCATTCAGAGACGAAATCGACGAGGCTATGGAGAAAAGAACCCTGCGAGATGGAGACTGGAATGACAGGGAAAATTGGAGAAAACGGTTGAGTAAAGGAAGACAGTGAAAACTGTGGAAATCCTTAGTAGTACTAGTACAACATCGGTGAAGACATGAGAAATAAGGGAATCGTGCTTATCGGAGGAAGGCGATAAAAGTGCGTTCTGTCAAATTTAGGTTCTGAACTGTTGCTTCACTCGCGTCATGAGACGAGTCGCCACTGGGACACAGATTAGTTATTTACAAAAAAATTATGTTAGTAAATACAAATAATTACTATTAACTGCTATGGGATTACTATATCTGAAGTTTATATAATTAATCTACTTTAAGATACTTAGATCAAAAATATTATTATCTAGAAATTTTATCAAGAAATGTACAATGTAATTTCTATGAAGTCCAAGGGCAACCACCTGTTATTGTTGTAATAGGTTTTACCACTTATAAGCTTATAAATATAAAATGTTATCATCAGTAGTGTATAATCTTTTATTAAATACATATCGACATCCTATGATTTGAGGTTAAAACATGCGTTTCAATATAAAATTTGCTATAATATTATTTTGTAATGTGTTGGGGTTAGTGAATTCTTCAAATATTTTACTTGTGTTTAATCACTTTGGAAAAAGTCACTATTTTCAAGGAAAATCATTGGGACATGGTCTTGCAAGAGCTGGTCATAATGTAACGATGGTGAGCGTTTTTCAGGACAACCAAAAAGTTCCAGGATACGAAGAGATTTATCTTGATGGAATGATTAGTAGTTTAGGTATCGTATGCAAATATTTATATACGCAATAAACCTTATACAGTGTGTCAATTTTAAAACTTACAATGGGATATATTTCACGAACAAAAGCTGATATAGAACAATGCTTGAAAGCGTTTCTAGGATAGTAAGGGGAAACTAAAATGACATGATAGAGAACTCACCACCAGCAATCCGCTAGGCTCCACCCATCACAACTAAAAAAGATTAAATTGCAAACCCCTACTTGTCATACATCATTGAAAAGACTATAAAAAATGCTATCCAATGGTATAAATACTATGTAATTATACAGAGTGAAGCAATAATTGTGAAACTTTTGCTTAAATGGAAAATTTATACCCTGTATAATTCTTGTTTAATAATTATACAGGGTGTTCATATCAGCCGGCTTACTATAACTTTTGTATTTGTAATGCTATCTCCCGGACTATTATTTTTAATTATAAGTGCCCGTCGGAATTTTTTTTGTTAAATTAAAACCTAATTTGCCGTTTTTGCAAAACAAGTTGAAAACATCTGTTTTTTGGGATCTGTCAGATTCAATAATTTTTGGTGTCATTAGTATTCATCATTTGTACGATCGGTACTTACGTCTACTTCCATCTACATTCCATCATACTACGTCCGCGATTTAGTAGAAAAATTTAGAGAAACGGGATCAGTGCAAAATAAAAAAAGGGATATTTTGCCTTCCCTAAAGGGAAAAAATATGAAAAATATTAGAGCTCCGGGGGAAGATGGTGTAGTCATTAGGACAGTTAAGACAATTAAAACAATAAATTTCTCATATAATAAACAAATATTCCAAATAAATATAAACTTTCGGTTACAATCTTCTTTCATAAAAAAAGAGATAAATTTGGTCTTGAAAGCTATAGCCTCTTATATTGTTAATAAGTTATTCTTCTGCGTTCTTTAACTAACTTTTGTCCGACAATATATGAAAGATAGTTTTTAAGATTCACAGTAATTGTACTTTAATTATTTAATCACTTTTTATTTTTAGGTATAGATACCAATTTTGTAAAAGCTTCGAAATTGCCGGCCTTACTGATTCAAGTTTTTTTCCATTCAATGGCACTAAATTTCACCGAAAAAACATTAAGCCATCCGAAATTTCAAGAATTGCTTAATTCAAACAAACATTTTGACGCCATCATACTAGAAGATGTAGTATACACAGCTCTTAAGGCACTATCTTGGCATTTTAAAGCACCCTTAATACTCTTTAGTCCCTTTGCCCCAATGACAACGTTCCACATTACTGCAGGCAATTCAGCCCCTCCGTCTTATATACCCAATACATTAAACGGTTATTCAAGCCCCATGAACTTTTGGCAACGATCGTATAACAGTTTTGTTTATTTGGTCGATGTTCTCCTCAGTAATTTTCTATCCAACCCCAATCAAGAAGCACTTATGAAGAAATACTTCCCAGGATGTCCCGATTTGGCAGCCATCGACAAAAATATTTCGCTTTTCTTAATTAATGACCACGAGAGTATTAATGCGCCGATTTCTCATGTACCGAGTATGATTGACATTTTGGGATTTCACCTAAAAGACAAAAATGAACTGCCAAACAATTTACAAAAATATATGGATGCTGCCAAAGAAGGTAAGTATGTATACATCCATTAATTTGTTTTCATAATTTTGTTTTTATCCCATTAATCTAGTAAATTATATTTATAACTTTCATGTAGATATTATCTGTGTATATAAAAACCATGTCTTTTCATAATGACATGAATTTTAGTTTTTTTTTTTATAAAAATAAACCTTACATTTGTTTCATGTTATTTTTTTTTCTAGGTGTGATCTTGTTCAGCTTTGGTTCATTCGTGAATCCATCGAAAATGGACCCTCAAATTAAAGAATCCTTCCTAAATTCACTTGGTAAACTCAGCCAAAAAGTTTTATGGAAAACCGACGAGGATAATATTTCTGGTAAACCAGATAATGTAATATTGCATAAATGGCTTCCACAAGAAGATATTTTAGGTAAGAAACAAATATGTACAATAAAATTACTCGAAACTTGATTTTAATTAATTCATTATTCAGTTCTACTTATCTTGGAGTATTTTACTTACCGTCAAGCAGAAAATATCAAATATACCTTAAATATGATCTTTAATCTACTTTTTATGTTATGGTATAGATATTGACATAACACGACACTACTCCACAAAAGTGACTTAACACGTCAATAATGGATATCCATCTTTCTATTCCTGTGGTGCCGTCTTTTTCATAGAAGGTTGGCTACAATTTCTGCAAGTCTTTCCCAGTTTTATACGATTTCAACAAGTAATTTTAAATTTAACCAATAAAGTTTCTCGCATTTTCGAAAAAGGAACATTGTCTTCTGTCCGGATCCTTCTTTCTTCGGTCTCACTCTCTATTCCATCCTTTCTATGGCGTACAGCCCAATTCGAGCCGTGGGATCCTTCAGAAAACCTCTCCATTTATTATGATTTGTGGCCATTTTCCTCCACGATCGACTGCCAAGGAGATTTCTAGCGTCCTTATCCACATCATACTCCTATAGTTTTCTCGGTCTTCCAATCGGTCTCTTGCCTGTTTTCTTCGATAATAAATACATGGCCTGCCCTTTGAAGACGCTGTGAGCGGTCATACTGAGATACAAGTGGTTCTTTATAACTCTTATATCTTTCATATATATACAACGGTATTTAGGCGGTACGCCCTTCCGGTAGGGATCTATGAAGGAGTATCACCGAGCCGCAAGCCCTTATCTCTTGTTGTACTGCTCCACCATAGGCCGATCAGACACCCACCATATTCTATTCTAAGCCGCAGATTCATCTAGAATTTTAAACTGCTGTGTTAGCCTTTTTATTTTCTGTACACCGAGCTGGGGACCGAACCCACATCCACTGTGAGTAAGCGAATGAGAAACCGGCCGCCCAGCCCGCTTGGCTATCTGACCTTATATATTTTATAATTAAATCGAATTCGCCACCTGTTGTTCTCATTTATAGGAATATTCGTTTCAGTACCTTTCTTTTAAAAATCTCTATGCAGTTTACAGATTTATGGGTCAACACCCAAGTATCACATATATAGTTCACCATTGGCCACTTTGATATACGTTTTGTTATTTAAATATCTGACTCATAGCAAAGTACGCCGTATTAGCAAGGATGATTCTTCTGCTAAGCTCTGCATCGTAAATGTTGTACTTTGCAATGTTAACTCATAAATAAATAAATCTATCTACTTTTCCCAAGTTGTTAACTCCAACTGTCAGGTAGGGTCGTGTTGCTTTCTCCGATCGACTTTGTACTAGGATTGTTATAGCCCTGCAAAATATCGCCAAAACATATTTTTTGACTCTTAATACGGTCCTTGTACAAAAAGGGTGTACATAAGTGAAATTATGAGTATAATTTCAGTGTATGAGGACTGTATTATATGAGGTTGGTTCAAATAAATTAGGATATGTAGTAAAAGGTTAAACATACAATAACAAATTAAGTTTATACAAAGTCTTACCGCTATTCTGCTCCACACACTCGTGGTATTGACAGGCTTTTACTCGCGGTTGTTCTTCATACACGGAATCTGTCCGGGTACCGATTTCTGAACAAGTGTTTCGCGGTACTAACACTGAGATCACGAGATAGAGTACATTTTGCGTCTCTACACGATTTAAAACACTATTTGCGGTATTTTTCGCGTAACTAAAAGCAGGAGAGAGATAATTAGTTAGCGGAAGTCAACAGTAAAGAGTACCCCTGTCACCAACCGAATGTTAACAGGGGAGAGAGAGCGTCCGTTCTCATCGATAGACAACATGCAAGATAGCGACTGTTTTTCTCGATAAGTAAAAGGTAAGAAAGAGAGAGAGTACGTCTGCCTAACGAGACTGAGCAGACGCATGAGTGTGGTTAAAATGTGAGTAGAAAGTGTTGAAGAATGGGAAATACTTATAAAATTGTGGTAAAATCGTAGTTAGTAATACAGCGAAAAAATGACATGATTTTTCGCATGTGAAAAAATTGAACAGTTCTAATATACTTCTTTAATAGTAATACACAGTACGTCTCTGTGCCATGGTTTCTTGCAATATATTTATTTTTAAATGTATTTTACTACATAATAAGGGTCGAAACTCCTTTCGACTCCAAACTCCTTTTTTGTATATATTAGAATCGTCAATTAATTTAGGTTAATCTCTATAAAAAATGAATCGTCCCAAAAATAAATAACTTTAGTCAACAAATAAGCCACGAATTACATACTTCTATTTTTTGGCGTTATATTTTACTAAAAAGGTTTAGCCGATTATAAAAAAGGTTTTATTGTTTTGAGTTTACAATTTAGAGGACAATAAAAATGCCAATTAAAAAGTTCGGTAAAAGGACCGTTAAGGATTCGTTAATAAATGTTGAAAATACGTTACTATAATTCCCTATAAATTGCTTCTTCTGGGCAGTAAAAAGACCATACAACAGTTTCACGACACTCACCACGGTCTACGTTAAACCATTTCGCTTTTAGCACACATTATTATGCACGCATTAACACATAGCAAAGAAGTTTTTTTTTTTTTGACTGTTTAAATAAAATAAAGTTATTTGAAACTCAAAACCTAAAATTTACTTTACTTTTCTAACTACTCATTTTCACTTTAATTTCAGCTCATCCAAACTGTAAACTATTTATAACGCATGCTGGTTTTCTAAGCACGATCGAAACTATTTATCATGAGGTGCCAGTACTTGCTATTCCTTTCGTTGCTGATCAGGATTTAAACGCTCTAAGGATGGTCGATACAGGAGTTGGACTCTCAACAAAACTGCATGATATCACAGAACCCAAACTCGATTTTATGTTACATGAGCTTCTCTATAATAAAACGTAAGTAAATTTTATTCTGATGTAAAAAATTAAAAACCTGTTCTGCAGAATTGTGTGATACAAAGATAATGTTAACCTAGCACGCTCTAGATACATCTTGATGGACAGAGGGGTGGCGTTTGAGTTCTAAAATATCTGCTCATTATAGCTCACTATATAGCTCTCTGCGAACAGTGCTTATATATATATATATATATATAATATATATATATATATATATATATATATATATATATAATATAAAATTTATGTTTCTTGGGTTTAGGTTCAATAAAGATATATTACATGTGGAACTAGATTTCATTTTCCATAGCAATCAATCAACGTTTCGGCAGGAAACCCTTGCCTTTGTCAAGATTCAAAACGTAAACCGTGACACAGACATTAACGAACGAACTGAGTCAGTTTCATTTCTTTCTTTGTTATCTCTGAATATAAATTTTGGTTTGGAGTAAAAAATGGTCTGATCCACAGCATGCTCCTCGTTGTGTTCTCACATCTGGGATACTACTGGCTACCTTTTTCCTGAGGGAAGTTTAGCGCCATGTATCATTTTTAGTCTACCATTGTAATCAGTTTCTCTGTATTCCCATGCAGTATTTTGATAATTAAAATCGGCAAATATGAAGTTGATAAAAACGAAATCTTCCCCAAGAAACTTGTATACAGAGGTCACAGAGAATAAATAATAAAACTTGAATGTTGAAAACGCTTTAATTTACTTATAATTATTTGCCATTCTAATGATATCAATACTTACGTTTTTTGTAGGTATACAAGAAATGTTCAGAAGAGATCTAGGCTTATGAAAGACCGTCCCGTCAAACCGATGGACCTGGCTGTCTATTGGGTAGAATACGTTATTAGACACAAAGATCTATCCCATATGCGAGTAGCTGGTCTTGAACTCACGTGGTACCAATATCTCTTGTTAGATGTCATTTTGGTTTGGAGTATGGCAGCTGTATCTGGAACTATTATTATTTTTTATACTTTGAAATTAATTTTATGTAAGCGATCGAAAAAAATAAAAACAAATTAGATAGCAACATTGTACCGATTATTTTGCTTATCACATTGGGATCATTCTAGGGGGTAGAAAATTTCGGACAGAAATTATTGGGGTGGAGATAGGGTAAGCAAAACAAACCTGAACGTTTGCGAACGGCTACTCAGGTTTTTTTGGAGAGCTGGATCATAGATAAGTAAATGAAACAAGCGGACTGGAATGAAGTTACTACAAAAATGAAACAAAAGTGGTACTTACATGGGTCTCCTGGACAAACATAACACAAGAAGGCTCTTAAGCTATTTAAAGTAAGGACGCCGCTTACAAGCATCTTCCTGCTGGGTGGAAAAAAGGATTTTTTTTCCTAAAAAATATAAAAAAATGGGTTAAAAACTTTTTAAAAGGAAATAAACAACCTGGTTTAGGAAAAAATTAAATATTTATTGTTATCTCACCACAAACAGTTAGTTGTAAATGTAAAATGTAAAATGTAAATAATAATAATAAGATACAAAATAACAAAAACAAATTTATTATGTTACTATTGGTTTACAAACTCTAGAAATTGAAGATACTAGAAGAACTTACAATTGTCAATGGGCGATAGTTTGTAGCAGAAATAAATTATTACAAATGAAAAATATCCTTTTAAATGGAACTATGCATAGATGTTAACCTTTAAAAAAAAAACAAAACAAAACAAGGATCTCAATTTATGATTAGGTATGTATCAATTGTCAAGAAAATAATGTTAATATATGCGATGTCAATGTCAATAACTGTCATATGTCAATACTAAATTTTAAAACTTTGAGAATAATTAATATGATAGCTTAGCCACTCCCTAACATTTATAATTTTACTTATTACAATTTCTTAACTTGTTATGAAAGCAATTATTGACGGAAAATGTATATTTTTAATTTAAAAGTTAAAAAAAAAATTTTTCTGAATTTCACTAAATGTTATTTTTTTCCGTTAAAAGTCCAGGGTTGGAACTGGACTCAAATTTACTGCAACACAAACAAATGCACTGCGAAAATAGCCTGGAATGACCTGGAAAAATGTTATTTTTTTCCGTTAAAAGTTCTGGGGTTGGAATTGGACTCAAATTTACTGCAACACAAACAAATGCACTGCGAAAATAGCCTGGAATGACCTGGGAGATTCCAGACAGAAGATAAAAAAAAGTATGGGAAGAATGCTTGGGGAAACTTTTCCATGACCTTAGAACTGTACAAGAACCCACAGTTGAGAAAAATTCAGGTCCCGAAATCCTACCAGAAGAAATAATGGCAGCCATCAGACAAATGAAGGATGGAAAGACACCGGGACTTGATGAAATTCCTGCAGAACTGCTGAAGCTATTAAATACAGAACAAATAAAAATAATAACTGATATATTTAGTGAAATATACAAGGCAAGAAAAATAGCATTGCCCAAAAATCAGGAGAAAAAGTTTGTAAAGATTATAGGACAATAAGCTTAATGAGCCATCTGCTGAAGCTGTTTTTAAAAGTCATCCACAAAAGAATTTACCGGAAATGCGAGGAACAAATTGCGCCCCATCAGTTTGAATTTGTGAACGCCGTTGGTACGAGGGAAGCTTTATTTAGCGTGCAGATCTTGTTTCAGAAATGTAGAGATGTCACCTGTAATGTTTTTGCATGCCTGATTGACTGCAAGAAGACTTTCGATAGAGTCAGGCATGAACAAATGATGGAAGTGCTGAAGAGGACAGGGATTGATGGAAGAGACTTACAAATTATAGCTAATCTATATTGGAATCAATCAGCGGTAATCCTAATAGATGAAGAATATACAGATGAGGTCAAAATCTTAAGGGGAGTGAGACTCTCTCTCTTCAATCCTGACCCCCTAGGGGGAGTGTAGTGGTCGACGTGATGTCGTGTATTGTCCGTCTCCAGAGATCTCTGTCTCTGGTCATTTCTTTTAATTCATGCATAGGTCTTTGGCATACTCCTGTAATTTGATCTATCCATCTTGTTGGGGATCTTCCTCGTGATCTTCGGCCTTCTACCTTTCCTTGTATTATGAGTCTTTCCATATTTTCTGTGTTTGCTCTCATAACATGCCCAAAATATTTTAATTGTTGGAGATGGACTTTACTAGAGAGTCGTTGGTTAACTTTTAGCTCTCTTAAAATTGAATTATTTGTTCTGCGGTCGGTCCAAGGAATTCGTAACATTCGTCTCCAACAGAACATTTCAGTGGCGTCTATCTTTCTTCTCTCCGATTGTCTCATAGTCTAAGACTCACATCCGTAGGTCAGTATTGGGAATATTAAGCAGTTGATCAACCTCATCTTTATCGCTCTTGAAATTTGACAGTCCTTCCATATTTTGGTCATTTTTGCTGTGGCAACTTTTGCTAGATCAGATCTACGTTTAATCTCTTCTTGTAATGACCCTGTGTTTGTGATTAATGATCCCAGATATAAGTATGAGCTCACAACCTCGAACCGGTCAATTGTGGTTATGTGTGGATGATTGTTGTGTAGTCTATCCACTATCATGATCTTTGTCTTTGATATGTTTAATTGCAGACCAAATATTTGACTTTCGTTTTCGATCAGTCGTATAAGTTCTATCAGCTCTGCTTGACTATTTGCAAGAAGTGCATAATTTCACCACTGATATTCAATCTGTACTCGGAGCACATTTTTGAAGAGGCCCTAAAAGATATTGATGAAGGCATCTCAATAAATGGAGTCAAGCTCAATAACCTGCGGTATGCAGATGATACAATAGTGTTTTCCAATACCATAGAAGGGCTGCAAAGCTTAATGAACAGAATAACGGAAACAAGTAAAACATATGGATTGGATATAAACACCAGCAAAATCAAGCTAAAGATCATCAGCAAGCAAAACATAACTGGAGCAAATCTGTATGTGAACCAAATGAAAATTGAACGTGTCTCATAATACAATTACTTGGGAACTATAATCAATGAGTCGTGGAACAATACCCAAGAGATTAAATGTCGCATCGGAAAGGCCAAAAATGCATTCTTGACTATAAGCTCTGTGTTCAAAAGCCATGACCTCACCATGAAAACAAAAACAAGGCTCCTTAAATGTTACGTGTACTCAGTGCTTCTGTATGGAGTAGAAACGTGGACATTGAAGGCAGAAACTCTATCAAAACTTAAGGCTTTTGAATTATGGTTATACAGAAGATTCTTGAAGATACCATGGACAGACAAAGTCACCAATGAAGAAATACTGTGGAGGATGAACACAACCCTGGATTTGGTCAAGATTGTGAAGAGCCGTAAGCTGGAGTACTTGGGACATATAATGAGAAATCAAGGCAGATACGAGCTACTCCAATGCATTTTGCAGGGTAAAATTGAAGGAAAAAGAGCCCCGGGATGAAGAAAAATATCCTGGCTTGCTAACCTGAGAGCATGGTATAGAAAGACCTCAACACAGCTATTTCGTATACCAACCAATAAAATCATTATAGCCAGAATTATCGCCAACGTTCGGAACGGACAGGCACCCTAAGAAGAAGAAGACCTGGAAAAAACAAAATAAGGTTGGAAGCTGAGCACTGGGACGCAACCTTTGAAACTTGCCTTCTTAAAAACTCAAACGCAATGCAACCATGTGAGTATCTTTTAAAGTTGTTTGAAAAGCCGTTCTTTAAATGCCTTGGGTGAGAGACGGCACGAAAACAAAACAGTGATTACTCTTGTAAAAATTGACACGTTACATTCGAATATAATTCACTTTTCTACCAACAAATTCAAATTGCAACAAATTTGCCGGTTTCTTCAGACGACCCACGCCGCGTGTCCTCTCTATAAAATCTCAAACCCCACCTGGTATAAACAAAATATATAATCGGAAATATTTTTGTTTATTTGACGTGCAAAATATCCTAAAGTGGTTCTCGATCAAAGAAATACCGAAAAAATACGCATCTGTGATATATAAACAAACCTTAAAATGTGTTTATTACCAACTCCAGCGATGTAAAAGGATTGAAAATACTTTTTGTGTTTTAACATACACGATAGGAAATAGAAATACATTGAATATTCGATCGTTATAAGAAATTTACACATGCTACAATATAGTACTTTAATTATTGATATATCATCAAGAAAATTCTGTTTTTAATCTTAGAATAGAATGGTTTTTAATAAACATCATGTCAATCATGTTAAATATTTTAGTAATATTGTTATAATTTGGATATTTTCTTACATAATGGTCTTTAATAAAATTTTTTTTTTGCTATTTAAGATGTACTAATCTCTTAATATCAATTCATGTTTGTAATATGTATTGAGAGACTGACTGTGAATTATACAACTGCGTTGCGGTTTCTAATTGCGTTTCATTGTATTACAGTTTTGCGGAGTCCCTCTTCTTATATTCTTCGCATGTGACTCTATTATTGCGATCATCTTTGATTACCTAATTTTATTACATCTTGTGCCCCATCCCGCTCTTATATATTCGTTTTAACGTGCACTTTGTCACGTGGAGCCGTATGGCTGTGTCATCTGCATATTTAGTATTGTTGGTAGTTTCCTCTCAAATTCGAGCTCCACGTTGCCCTTCAAAGTCAATGAAGTGCATAAATATCGATCCTGAAAAAGCTCCAGGCCTTACACATGCACCCCTGTCTCACTCCCCTTAAGATTTTTTAACATAGCAGTAGACTATGTTCTCTCCAAACTAGACTCCGACATAAGACGAATACAATGGACGTTAACCACACGCCTAAGCGATCTGGAATACTCCGACGATATCTGCCTGTTAGGACAAAGGTTATAATATGTGGCTGATCAAATAGAAACACTTTCCACTGAAGCCAATAAAGTAGGTTTGAAAATCAATATTAATCAAACCAAATCCCTGAGAGTAAATGCAAGAAACAACGCGCTACTTACTATCAACAACATGCAAATTGAAAATGTAAAAAACTTTACTTATCTTGGAAGTGTCATAACAGAAAGCGGAGGTACAGAGGACGATATTCGTATGATACGAAAAGCTCAAC